ATATAAGCACACCTCTATACAATCACACCATAAGGCGATTCTGAAGGGTGTGATTGTAGAGAGGGTCGACTGTATATCAATTTTATATGTTTATTTGACCAAATTAATACCAAATTAAGGCCAATTTTAAGCTGATTTATGATTATTTAAATTCTGAATTGATGCTGAATGATGCTGAATTGAGACCAATTTTAGGCTGATTTATGGTTATTTAAATTCTGAATTAATGCTGAATAATGCTGAATTAAGGTAATTTTTAGGCTGATTTATGGTTGAATTTAAGTTCTGAATTGATGCCAAATGGCTATATCCGATTGAAGTCGATCAGCATCTATCAGCACCTGTTTGTGCTGATCGGAAACATGACAAATTGGCCATAAATAGTATCAAATTCAGCCTAAAATCAGCCATCCAATTTTTGGCCAATTTGAATTATTTCAACTAGTGAACCTTTACTAAACATCCAAGATATTCAATTACTTCACCCTCTTCACCTATTGTATAATTTCCAACATTAACTTCTTTTTGCAGAAAGTCTATCTTTAAAGTTTCCAAATATGCAATTATATATAGATATTGGGATGCTTGAATCATTTAGTTGGTAATTGCACATTATATCAGGATCATATTCATATATTTTATAATAAGTTGATGGTGACCTCATGCTTACTACCTTTGTCCTTTGATTTTCTGCTAATAATGTTATAAAAAAAAAACAACTGTTAATATATTTCAAAAGGTATCCAAATAGATTTACATTCAGCTTTACATTTTACTCCTAAAAATAGTAAGTAGTAAGAAAATGAAAATTAAAAAATAAATGTACATTTAAAAAGGATGCTGCTTTTCAATTAAATCTTCGGGTAAATGTTAAGATATTGTTATTCTTCTTCTATTAGATAAATTAATTCTGCCAATAAAATCATCTAACTAATTAGAAAATTTAAAATCTCTCATTGCTGGGTAAAATTGTTTCATTTCATCAGTTTCTACCAGTTTTTTTTTTTGCTTTTTTTATAACCATATTGTGAGTTACGGCTTGCTTTCTTATCTTAAACTCTGTCCCACTGAAATAACAGGTTTTCTAATTCAGGTAAACTTGAAGACATTCCCGGATGTAACTTTTTAATATAAGCTGAAGATATAAGTTGCTCTCTTTTTCTCTCCCAATCTCTTATTTGCTTTGGTTCAATATCAAACTTTTTGCAGCAGCTCTTTTGCTTTGGACTCTTTATGCATATTGCAATATCATAAGTTTTTCGCGAGCATACCATTGTCGTCGAATTTTCTTGGTAACCCTGGCGAACGAACTTTAAAAAACGCCACTCACCTGTATATATGGTGCGAATGGTCTAAAGCCATCCAATATTTTAAAATGCAAAGAAATTTTATTTAAATATATAATTGTTAAAAAAAAATACATTGTTAAATAGCCTTTGATATGATTTATAATAAAATGTATTTTTTTCACTTATTATATTATAAAAATTATTAGTAGTTAGATTTTTTTTAATGGCAATTTTAATAGTAATAGACAAATTTTCAGCGCCTCAGATATCACGTGTCAGAATTTTATTGGTTAGTATTTAATCACATGATTTAATATGATTGGCTAAAACAATTTAAATTTACAATTCACCAAATTCTTCCAAGACATTTTCAGGAACCCGACGATGAGATCGATATCGCTTAACCACAAAAACGGCTGCCTTACCTGAAAGTCCAAGCTTATAAGCACTCATATAACGTGCAAAACGATGTGTAAAATGGCGAATTTTTGTTAAATTAATGGAATCTAATGCGCGTGGTACAACTTCTTTAATGTCTTTAAATGTATAATTGCAATAAATACGCGAATACTGTTTTACCTCTGCCCAAAACGACTCAATATAATTGAGCTCGCAGTGGAACTTTGGGTAAAACATGCACAAGTGCCCTGCTGCCTCAATAACCTGAAAGATAAGTACATAAAATGTTAGTAAAATTACCTTAATAATTTACTAATTGCAACTTACCTCTTGTAGGTGCATCTTTTGTGATGCAAAGTCAGGTTGGGCTGAAAGAATACGCATTGCACAACAGTCCTGTTTAATTGGATCAGGATTATGTTGCGCGCAAGTACTGCATTTTCTTATCAAGCTCGGTACCCATAATCCACATTCTTCAAGAACTCTCCGAATGCCTTTTGGCTTTACATTGCCATCAACATCTACAAACGTCATGATATAAGGTGAACCATCGAGCATCTTACCATTACGGAGAAGTGGTTGTTTTCCACCATCTTTCATGTTCATTCTTGAGACCATTAATGCATCTTCAGCAAATGCATTGTGGTTACAACTATTATCGAACATGAACAATGCTACTTTTCCTGGATGAGTCCGTTCGAAAATGGAAATAGCACGATCTTTTACCTGTTCAACGACATCCTTATTTGTCCACCAACCATCCTGATTTTTATCAGGATATATAGTAACGCAAGCTTCAGTATGTATAAGCTGTTCATCAACAGGAAGCAAGTTATTGATGACACATTCCTCACTTGAAAGCCGAAGACGTCCAATAGATTCACAAAGAAAGTCGCTTACATGGATGCTCAGACCTTGCGATTTGTGACAAAGCTGACTTTCATTTGCTGGTCCCTAAGCCTTAACAATACCATCATTAGCATAAAAGACCGATTCATCATGAGTGATGGGAACAATCTCAGGAACGTCTGGTGAAAGTACAGGTAAGATCTTTTGATCTAAATTTTCACCCTCGTAAGTAATCATTCTTTTTTGTAATTCTGCCCATTGCTGCAAAAATCGACGTCTATCCTCCACCACATTCTCACGCTCATGACCATCAAAATAAATATTTTTTGAATGGTCTTTATATTCCCAACCAAGGATTTTTAACCATTCGCGTGCAGTTGTATGAGAGATAGTTGTCTTTTCTTTTATCCCAAGGTCAGGAATAATCTT